TAAGGAAGGTGGGAAGGAAACATTCTGGTGTTGTTTCTAGCCTAATCTTTATTGACCTGCTTACAGAAACTGCTTCTCCGGTTAACCATTATTACATTGTAACAGCTAAGGCGAAGCACCCATCAACAAAGTGATGTTGCGTTGGCCATGCCCACCCAGTCACATGACCGTCGAGCCACACCTACTCAGCTGGTCATTAGGGCAGATAACCAGTTGTTAAATTATTTGAATCCCAACACTGGTCAACATATTATCCCCAACAATCTGGATCCTCATTTTACCAACCTTGGAAGGATGAAAGGTTTGAGCCGGTGAGAATTGAACTGTTGGCAGTCGGCATAATTAGCCTGCAATGCTGCATTCTAAGCATTGCACCACCACGGCTCTTCAAGTTACTGAGTTGAGGAACACTGGTTTAGGGGGACTACTATGACTACAACATCCCTCCAACTCTCTGTAATTTACAATTCTCTGAGCAGTGATGGAGAAATCTCGTAGACGATCACTATTATGAATTATAACACTTGGGGGACAGTCCTGAAACTAGTTACATTATTCCTGGATTTTAGAAAGAATAACAACATTTCTACCTGGAAGAAAAGATCATAGTTTTAAATTATAATTCTTAATTCTGCTCTTGGTCTATTTACTATCTTGACATTATTATTTGGGGGGAGGGGGGTTATAACACCATCAGTAAAAAAAAATGGTTCTCTGCTTCTGTTTAGCTAACTTTATCTGTCCTGGATACACAGCCTTAAAATAATTGCTTTTTATCAAACGCTAGCACTGAATTCATATGAATGTCAGTGTTTTTTACAGCATATCTCCGAATGATGGCATGCATCTCTTTAATATTAAGAAAAGGCTTAATGTTAAGGCAAGAATGTTACTTTTTTTAATTGTGTCTACAGCTTCACCTCTTGCAAAGCTGAAAGTTACAGCCTTCTACTGCCCTCGTGTGGTTTTACCTTTGCTTCCTGGGTTTGTTCAATACGGTAGAACAGAGCAAGGAGCAAAAACCGCAGGAAAGTCTTTGCTGTTCAAGAACAGCACAGACAGGCAGCACTGCTAACATAGAAGAAATAAACTACTAGAATAGGACAACCATCATCCTAAAAGGGGAAGTTATTTCAAACCCCTGCCTGATGTGGCCTGCCAGCCGCCAGCAGAGCTGGCCACAGATTCACACAGTGAGGAGGTTGAGGAGGGACATGGACCAGTCCTGGAGTCTGGGGAAGGCTCCGATGAGGGGTCTGTGTCAGAGGCAGAGAGGGAGCCAGAGCCGTATGCCAGTTATCAGCTGTTGTCAGAGTCAGACAGCAGCGAGGCAAACGAACAGTGGGAGCCTGTTCCCAGTGTGCACATGTGCAGAGTTTCCATTTAAAGGGAATAACAAAAAAGCAGGGGTCGATTTGGGATTATGGATGGCCGATGGATGCCCCCCCAAGAGGAAAGAAAAGAAAAGCAAAAGGGGAGTGGAGTTTGCAGGAGACAATTAGTTCACTTAATTGGTTCGTGACTCTCCGATACTCCTTGCCAAGTTTTGCAGATATCGGCCTGCCAGCTCTCCAAACCCGTGACCCGTCAAAACCGCGGTAGACAAAAGCGCGCTCGACGAAAGCGCGTACCTGACGTCATCAGCAGCGGGACAAAAAAAATTAAAAAT